TATTATTGTCACTGGGGATATCAGGGGATATTAGTCAGTTCCCCGCTTTGTCAGAATGCCCGCCGGTATTACTAGTATAGTTTTTATTTTAGCAAAGACATGTAGCAGAATACCTTTTGGCCTAAATCTATGATGAAATTTGATTTTAAAATTTTTTACTACACATGTTTAATAGCAAAAAGTCAAAAATATAGTTTTTTTTTTCTCAAAATTGTTGGTCTTTTTGTGTTTATAGCACAAAAAATTTAAAACACAGACAATAAAATACCACTAAAAGAAAGCTCCATTTGTGGGGGAAAAAAGAACATAAATTTCATTTGGGTGCAGCGTTGCATGACCGCGCAATTGTCAGTTAAAATAATGAAGTGGTCAGGATGTAGGGTAAATCCTCTGGAGGGCAAGTGGTTAAGAAACGCCCAAAGCCACACAGAGCTTAAACACAGACCAAAACACCAGACCAAATGTATAAAGGAGTCTAAAGCTGCTTAAATGAGTCATGAGACAGCCAATGCATTTCAACTACAAAACACACTCTCCCTTATCAAGGCTTTTTCCCCCGAAATGCCTTGATTGTCTTGTAAATCATTAAATCTCTTTTGGACTCCCTTATGAATTTGGAATGGTACTTCTTTTGTTTTAAGCTATGAATGATGTTCCCAGGTACATGTTGGAGGGTAGCCCTGGTTGCATGTGAACTGCCTAACCAGAGATAGTGAACTTTTTATATGGTTGTTGATTTTCCCTTTACTACTCTGTATCAATAAGCACTGAAGTCCCAAAGACTCTTGGATGTATCCATGTTGAATCTTTATACATAAAAAAAAAGTAAGGCAAAGGACCCTTCACCAAAAATGCCTGCAAGCTCTTTGATTTACCATTGATTTACCAGTGGTGGCAATCTTGGCAGAGGCAGGGCTTAACTTCCACAAGTCAGAGCCTCCAGCATGTACCAAAGTGAGCTAAACAGTATTGACATCACCAAATGCCACTCCAAAATTTCCTGAGACTAGCAGCAGTCAGAGGCAGCAGTGCCTTAGATCTCACAATGCAGATACACAGCTATGAGGCTCTGGACACAGTAGTGCCTAGGTAATCTCACATACCAGGATGTACAGTGCTATTTTTTTCAAGTGGAATTCAAAACAAAAAGTAACATTTTTAGGGCACTGCTTAGGCCAAATCAACACTGTTAGATGTTCCTTTTAATGCTGCAATTTTCAAGGTTTGATTAAATGTGGGATCCAGGTAGATCAAATATTTATTTCACTACATCAGGTTTATAAAAACTTATACAAAATCAATAAAATGGTCACATTTTGCAGTCTATACTGAACCACTGTGGAATATTTTAACAGCAGCTGTTTGACCATGACCAGGCCCATTCTTGAGTCATAGTTCAGGTCACGGAAAACCACACATTAGAAATATATAAACACTGTAAAACCACAGTAATGCTACACTGCAGTGTGGAAGAAAGCATCTATCTTGACAGATTCCATAGGTATACTCTTTAAATAGTTGGCTTTGTGTGTTAGCATAAATATAGGAAATTTTACAAGTTCATCAGGAAATGTAATTTAGCTTTTTATATATTATGCACATATTCGTTTAAATGTTAAAAAGTTATCATGTAGTTCATATTTTGTAATCCAAGGTAATACTGCCTAATATTCAGTATACTTTTTTTTTTTACCTCTACAACCAAAGATTTTTTTCTTTAAAATATTTTTAAACGCCAAGTGGCAAGTAGTAAACTTCTTAAAAAGGATCAAACTCCAGCTTCAGCTTCAACTGGAGATGTGTTTTGTTGTAGTCTTCATCCTCCCATTTCCTGTCGTGAAAGGAAGTAAAAGGAATTCTGCCCAGTTTTGGCTAAATTTGGGCATTAAAGTGGTTTTAAATCCCTGCATAAGGTTTACCCATTGAAGCAACTACGTGATACACGGAGGTGAAGCAAATCCTCCTACATAAGTTACATAGAGGTGAAGCAAATCCTCTTACATAATCTACAGCCATCTCTTCCCAGAGCCTCCTAAAGCACATATTTTACATGGCAGTTTTGAGCTCTAGCACGCAGAGGGGGATCTGATGTCACACACATTGCACAACTAGAGCACAGTGCTCAGTGAAACCTAACCCTGAGTAGAGGAAATGGACCCCCTTAAACACTGTAAAAGGGAAATATACACAATTGAAGCTGTCAACTGCTGTGTGCTTGAGGGGAGGGTGGGCCATCCCCAGGGAGGCTGTGGAGTCATAGCGCATTACCAATGACTCATCCAGATAGCAGAGGGAAGAGAGATCAGGGAGAAATGACACTTGGTGCCTTGGATTAAGACTAGTCTGCACTATAGAGGGATATACTGTGTTCATTTCTCATTTCAAAGGATTCCAACTAAAAATTGTGGTCAGTCTTTGGACATGCAAATGTTCTATTTTCTTTCCCCTACTGCTCACAGTTACAAAGCCCCTATACTTTATTTCAGTTTTTACCTGTCATAATAAGCTCTCTGCACTAAATTTCATAAAGGGTATGGTATTTATTTGTTCCTATATAACAATATAATAATGTTTATTTCTGTGGTATCATCAATACCCACTATTGGGATGGGAAACCTGCAAAGAAATACAATCTGTTCTATAAGAATGTTCAAATTTATTACCACAATTTGTAGTTATATCTTTGTTGTAATAAGCTTCTTCCAATCTAGGCAAAATTCAGCAGAATTTGGTTTTCTCGTTTAATGGCAGTAAATGGAAATATAGGTGCACATTGGGGATGATTTTCTTAAAGAATTACATTGAAAAATAGAAAGCCTTTTAACATTGTAATACCAGATGGTAAAATGTGTGTTTGCTGGCCTTACCACAATGTGAATTAACACACAGCAGTTGGTGCAGGGCAGCAAAACACACATGCCGATCCTTCTGGTGACTTACGTTTTTTTTTGCCACTGAGGTTGCAGTAATGCAGGGTTGTCAAGCTGGCAGCCCTCCAGCTGTTGCGAAAACTACAAGTCCCATCATGCCTCTACCTTTAGGAATCATGCTTGTAATGGTCAGTCTTTCAATGCCTCATGGGACTTGTAGTTTGGCAACAGCTGGAGTTTGACACCTGTGCAGTAATGCATTGCAACTGATTATATAGCTCTGAAGAAGCTGTAGTATATGAATCTTACTGTCATTTCCCTGTCTTACTGTACAAGTTAATACGTGTACTTTACTATCTTACAAGAGAAGACCCACTAAAGTACAGTACATTACATTGGGGGACTGAAGTGGTTTACCAGGGCTATGGCTGCAGCTGTCAGCCATAACCCTGGTATTAAAATTTTGAGCCAGCAGTTCTCCTTTTCTTAAAAGTGATCCAAGTGGCTGGTTAGCCGCTGGATTACTTTTAGAAGCAGTGGGAGGGGCCACTTCCCCCCACTTCCACCACTCGCTGGTGTTTCTCAGACTTACCAGTGTCACCCAGGAAGCCCGGGATTCAATTCGATGGTTCGCACAGCTGGCAATAGAAATGAAGAGAGACCAGATTGTGTCTGATCACCTCTATGATCTAGGAAGCTGGAAGCGATGGCATGATGTATCTTCCAGTTTAGGGCAGATATAAACACTGCCTTTTTTTTTTGAAAAGCATCAGATCAATGTTTTTTTTAATCTGAAGCTTTCAAAGATAGAGGAGAAATCTTATAGACCCCATATTTCTCCATAAAGAGGATCCGTCATGTAATATTGTTATTACAAGAGATGTTTACATTTCTTGTGATAGCAATTAGAGATGAGCGAATCGAACATGACGAAGTGGAATTCGTTCCGAAGATTTGGAAAAATTCTATTCGCGACGAATCCGAAGATTAGCAAACTTCGGATGCACGAATCAAATTTTCCCAAAAATGGTGGCGACATGTGTGGCGACGGAGAAAATGGACAGAGAAGATGGGGCGGGGATCTCTGGGAAGGCGCGCAGACAAGGCGCGCTGACCCATAATGCATTCATGACATGTGATCGCATTAGCCAATCAGCCAGCCAGCCAGCACTGTGTAATGGTGGAGCTATAAATCGTGGCCATCTTAGAATTCTCCATTAGCCTCCGGTCATTCAAGAGAGACAGACCTGTGTGTATTAAGGGACAGAGTTAGGGCCACATAGACTTTAGGGCCACAGAATCGTTACTCAGGGACACAGAATCGTTACTCAGGGACACAGAATCGTTACTCAGGGACACAGAATCGTTACTTAGGGCCACAGCTATCAAAGAATCGAAAATTTAAGTTGTGTCTCTGTCGTCACCATGTGTCTCTGTCGTCTGCTCACGCTGCTGACGGCTTCCGCTTTTTAACCTAGGCCTGTGTATGGCTTCAGAATAATGCTGCCTACACCGCCACCCTGCGCCATGTGCCTCTGTCGTCTGCTCACGCTGCTGCCAGGTCCATACTGATTCATGGCCCCCTGTACCGGCTCCTCATGAACGTGGTTCAGCGGGTTTGCATCACTTAACGGCAAATCGTTGACAAACGCTGGGACGTTCAGTGTGTTGTGCGCATTAAGCCAGACACCAAAGGGCAGCACAGACCTGTTATTACTCGCTCAAGCATGGCTGAACAAAACCAGTCTCTACCACAAATTGGACCCAGACCTGCCCAGGGTCTCGTAAGTAGATTGCACGGAGGAGTAGAGTTCGTCATTGGAATTAACTGTGAGGGACTTTTAAACCTAGGCCTGTGTATGGCCTTCAATTGAAGCTGCTTCTGCTCCGCCACTCTGCCATTGGACTCTTGATAGTCGTCTCCCCACGCTGCTGCTGGGGGGACTTTTTAACATAGGCCTCTGTATGGCCTTCAATTTTAGCTGCTTACGCTCCGCCACTCTGCCATGGGCCCCTGTACCGCCTCCTCATGCTGCTGCCAGGCCCGTAATCTGCCATAGGCCCCCGTACCGACTCCTCATGCTGCTGCCAGGCCCGTAATCTGTCATGGGCCCCTGTACCGCCTCCTCCTCATGCTGCTGCCAGGTCAGAGAGTGTGTTATGGGTCCCTGTACGGCCTCCCATTGCTGCTGTCTCCATCGCACACTCTGCCATGTGCCACTTTCAGGTCTCTCCTGCCACTGCTGGTGGGTTCCACTTTGTGTCATAGGGTGCTGTATGGCCTCCCATTGCTGCTGCCAGGTCCGTAATCTGCCATGGGCCCCCGTACCGACTCCTCATGCTGCTGCCAGGCCCGTAATCTGTCATGGGCCCCTGTACCGCCTCCTCATGCTGCTGCCAGGTCCAGAGTGTGTCATGGGTCCCTGTACGGCCTCCCATTGCTGCTGTCTCCATCGCCACACTCTGCCATGTGCCACTTTCAGGTCTCCTCACACTGCTGGTGGGTTCCATTTTGTCATAGGGTGCTGTATGGCCTCCCATTGCTGCTGCCTCCACCGCCACACTGTGGCTCCACACTCTGGTTTTGGCCCCGTGACTGCCCAAATGAGTGAAGTGTGCGGTGATTCTAAGATCGACGGCACTCATCTGCATGTCATACTGACTGACAGTATTATTTCTCTTCCCCAGCAGACTCCAAGGGCATTTAAATTAAAGGTACAGTGTTCTGCACTAATATAAAGGCTCTCTGAAGCCTAGAAACACCCTTTTTATAAGTTAAATTCGCAGCGAATATATTCGGCTCGAAGCGAATTTATTCGGCGAATTCGGCGAATCAGCCGAACCGAATTTTTGAATAATTCGCTCATCTCTAATAGCAATAAAAGTGATAAAAAATGTAAGTGTACAAATAAAAAATTTAACAAAAAAAAAAATAACGTATATGTAGGTTGTACCTGCACTTATAAATGGTGTTCGCACCAGATATGTGGGGTATTGTCTCGAACGTTATAGCGAGAGCAATAAATATAGTGCTAGGCCTCTTCTGTAACGATAAACTGGTAACCTGTAAAAAATTTAAAGTACCATAGTTTGGCACCATTCCACAAGCGTGCACAAGTGTGACATGTTAAGTATCTATTTTCTCGGCGTAGTATCATCTTTTATATCTTACAAACAATGGGTTATATATTGTGTCTTCTTGTAATAAAATTCATCATTTAAAATTTCTTTTAAATTGAGTTTGAAAAACCGTGCCGCAAATCCATATGACATAAAAAATTGCAATAACCACCATTGTATTCTCTAGGGCCTCTGCTTAAAAAATATAAATAATGTTTGGGGTTTCTGAGTAAATTTCTAGCAGAAAATGATAATTTTTACATGTAGGACAGAAATGTTAGAAAAGGTTTTGGAAGCAAGATATTAAAGTTTTTTTTAACTCCTTTCCGCTCAGCCTATTGTACAATGACGGCCAAGTGGGAACCCTACTATCCTGGGAGGATGTCACTTGACAGGGTTGTGCCTCACGCGTGCCCCACAGTTCATGCTCTGGTGCTGTCTGTCACCGGCTGTGTCCGCTGCTGCGAGCTGTGATTGGTTACAGTGATCACATGTACAGACTGGGCCAATCACAGCCCATCTATAGTATGTGATAAGCTATGGCCAATCACAGCTGATCACAACAAAAATTACTGAATGAATCAATTCCATAAAAATGCTTGCTGGCTTATACCAATGAAATTCGTATAAAATCATAATGTGTAAAAAAAATAATCCTGATCACTTGCCCAGAGTAGTACAATGTTACTATGGTAACATTGTATTGCTCTGGTCACAAAAGTAGAAAAAATAGTAAAAAAAAAAACAAAAGTAATAAAAAAACAAACAAAAAACAATTAGTAATTTTATATATGATGATGCTATACTGCATTGGTGACAGTATGTGTAAAAAAAAAAAATTGTGCATTGTGATTTTTTTTTTCATTTCTTCATTTTCCACAACATTATGACAAAAAAATTACATATTCAAAAAACTCGCCATGCTCCTTACTAAGTACCTCAGACTGTCTACTTTCTGAAAAGCGGTAATTTTTGGGATATTTGTACTGTCTTGGCATTTTTGAACCTCAAGAAATTAGATCAGCTGTCAGTACATCAGGATTTATTCATTTTTATATAAATACTATAGTTTGTGGACTCTATAATTTTCCTACCAATTAAATAATAAACACAGATTTGGGTTATTTTCACCAAAGACATAGCAGAATACATTTTGGCCTAAATGTGTGTAGAAAGTATATTTATTTGCAAAATGTTATAACAGAAACAAAGAAAAACGCATTTTTTTTTCTAAATTTTTGGTCATTTTTAGTTTATCGTGTAAAAAATAAACAATCCAGTGGTGATTAAATACCACTAATAGAAATCTCTATTTGTGTTAAAAAAATTATAAAAATATGATATGGGTACAGTGTCGCATGACTGCGCAATTGTCCTTTAAAGTGCAACAGCGCTGAAAGGTGAAAATTGATCTGGACAGGAAGGGGGTAAAAGTGCTCGGTAGGCAAGCGGTTAAACACTCTAACCTGTAAAAATGTTTAAGTACCATAGTTTGGCACCATTCCTCGAGCGTTGGCAAGTTTAAAGCATGGCATGTTAGGTATATATTTACTTGGCGTAATATCTTGCAAAAAATGGGTTATATATTGTGTCTTCTTGCAATAAAATTAATTTGTTTTTTTTTTAAATTGCGTGGGAAAAATCACGGTGCAAATCTGTGTGACAAAATTGCAACAACCACCTATTTATTCTCTAGGGCCTCTACTAAAAAATATATATAATGTTTGTGGGATCTAAGTAATTTTCTAGCGGATGTTTTTCTTGTATACAAAAAGTGGCAGAATAGGCCGGTCTTTAAGTGGTTAAAGTGAAATGAAAATAAAGTTCATAACGAAACAAAATAGTCATATATTATAAAAGCTTTCACTAAAAAGAAATTAGAATCTATAAATCGATATACATATTTGATTTGGGAAATACTGTATTTTTGCACCTGCATGGCTCTTTTTTTAATGTTCCATGTGCTTGTATGGCGTGAGAGGCTTTTTAATAATTGTACTTAGTTGCTGTAATTAATGCCATTACTCAATGCACTGCAGGCTAATTATAGAACCTTTTACATCAACTACAGAGCCAAATCTCTTTTATGTCTGTGTTTTTACTCCCATTTCTTACTTGTTAAAAATATTTTCGCATTTATTACATTTTGTTCATTTATCCAGAAAAGGGATTTCAAACACCTTTTGGAAAAATCAGGGAACTGGTGTTCCAGAAAGTAAAATAAATACTTGGGCCTGTTATACTGTAAATGTTCACTGGAAAACCAAGCTTACTGCATTTCCTAGGTCACCAAGAATAGTACACATAATAAAAGAGTTTTAAGAAAACTGAATGTGAATGTCATATTTCAGCCTACTTGACAATGTGCCAAACCAAAGTGTGAGCCTAAAGGCAAAATACACTTGCTTTGCCAGAAAACTGTGGTTTCAACACATTTATAAAAGGGTAAAATTATTACAGGGATTTACTTTTCAACAAATCCACGTAAAAGTATGTTGTTTAACGCTTTGGATCCTAATCTCAGAATGATTCACAAAATTCACCTTTAAATACTGCAGCTTTAGGAAATACCTGATTAACGTGCATTTGTGCTTGCTTGGTACATGCTCTATAATGTATTTGAATATGTGCTTTTAATACTGACTTCAGTAGTAATACTCAATTGACTTCTGAAAGGTTAGCCTTCAAACAACAAATCAAGTGATTTAAAGGGAATCTGTCAGTGGCGCAGTGGGGTTTTGTACAATACACGCAGCAAATTACTAATTAGTTAAAGTAGCGTGTTTCAGCCAAGACTGTCAAGAACTACCGTAGATTAATATTTTAAGGTAATTCGCTCTGATCAAGTCCATGCTGAATAATTATTTGCAGTGTCCAACCACATTGTGAAGAACTTTGAAATTATGTACCTTCTGAGTAGCTTTTTGTAGAAATTTTGGAAACCTAAATTAAAAGTGCCAAAATAAGCACATTTTCCACCATTGATTACTTGGCAATGGCAGAAGTGCTTTAGGTTAGGTTGCAGGTTGTGGTTAATGTGTTTTTTCCAGCACGTTTTGTGTTTTTGAACACGCATATTTTACGCTTTTTTATGGGTTTTGCGCTTAGTTTTTTTTTTTGGCTAATAGGAAAGTATGACAGTTCTGTTCATGTAGTGTGACTTTGATGCTGCCAGAAAATGTGAAGTCACATCAAAGTCGCACTACATGAACAAAACTGTCATACTTTGCTATTAGCTAAACACCTGCCCCCATAAAACGCATTAAAAATGCATCACAAGTGCAATACATGTGTGTTTTTGATGCAGGTCCATTGAAGTCTATTACAATCAAAACGGAACCTGCTGTGGGAAAAAAAAAGTCTCTGATCCTTTCCAAAAAACACACCTGCTAAAAATGCACAGATGTGAACTAGATCCATAGGAAACCATGTTAAATGGACTGTAGTGCATTTCTGCAACGCACTAAAAAGCGCATAGGTGTGAACGTAAAAATGAATCCTGCATTGACTTAGTTCAGCATGTCTAGACAATACAACTATCTTTTTTGAGAGCCTTTGTATTTTAATGGCTAGGCTTCAATTCACTAAGCACTATAAATAACTGAACCATGGGGATAATCATACTATTTTTTGCATAGGGATTGTAGTAACTAAAGATCAGGGGCGGACTGACAACTCATGGGGCCCCCGGGCAATAGGGGATCATGGGGCCCCTGTGTCCTTGCCCAAACTCAAAAAAGCCTATGAAAAAGGTACCAGGGGCATCTCATGAGGCCCCCTACTGACCCTTGGCCCTCAGGCAGTGCCCGAATTTCCAAATTGTCAGTCCGCCCCTGCTAAAGATCTATTTTTGCTGCTACACGGAAAGTTCCCTAGTAATGAGGGATTTTCCATTTTCTTAGTATTGCCCTTTATAGCAGAACAGTCATCAGCTCTAAATATCACACATCTATATCCAGTGCCAGATAACTAAATAGGCAAAGCAGGCACTGGCCTACAGCCCCCATGCCAATCACAGGCCCCGCAACAACGGATCAAAATAACTTGTTTATAAAAGATAGAAAAAAAAGAATCAACTTAAAGAAATGAAACTTTACATTAACCACTTGCCCACTTCTGCTAGGTTTTACACTCTTCATGGCCAGGCCAATTTTTGCAATTCAGCATTGGGCTACTTTAGCTGGCAATTGCTTGGCCATGCAACACTGTACACAAATTAAATTTATATTATTTTTTTCACATAAATAGAGCTTTCTTTTGGTGGAATTTGATCACTACTGGGTTTTAAATTTTTTAGCATATTATTATTATAACTTAAATAAAGGAATGCGCTAAAACCACAAACTATTCCTAATTTAGTGTAGAAACATTAGTGCAAAAGATCTATTCTCAATATATCAAAAAATATCAAAATTATTCTCAATTTAATATCAAAAAATATAAAAATTATTTTGTGCAAAAAACAATTTTTTAAAGTTGGGTAACTCACCATAATGCTGATAATCTCTTCAGCAAAAAAACTTTTTGCTCTTGCAATGAAT